ACGGACACCGACGAAGGCAAAAAATAGACAGCTGCGTATACGCACAATCAAAAGGATATGCCTCTGCCGCAGCCCCTATAGATCAACAAAACTCAGTCAGCTGCCGAGTCACCAGCATCGGATTTAAGAACAACAACAGCAATAGCAGCGCTGCTATTAATGGTAATAGACAGCCCGAAAGATGGCATTGAGAACGAGGCTAGTGTCGTGCTCTGAAAAGGAACTGTTTTTTGGCCATCTGCACGTGTATGCAAGTCCTCTGGCACTCAATGCAGCTGCTCTATCAATCTCAATTGATCGACCGGCTCTCGCAGACTTCAAATGCATTGTACTTCTTCGTTATGACTGATTAACGAAATATCCGACGGCGTACCAAATCTTTAAGCATGAATTTTAAAACTGCACCTCTTCACATGCTTCTTAGCTGAACACTTGTATGTATATACATATGTATGTACTTACAAAAAGGACGCTTGTTCCAGGTCATTACCTTAATATGCTGACCATAGCGCGAGGCTTATATCCTGCAACATAAAAGTTGCACAAACAACTGCAATAATAAAACAATGAAAATATTGCAACAATGAACGTAGCCAGTAGGTATTCCAAACGTGGCTAGTATGACAAATCCCTATTTTACCATACTAAATGGCGATGAGCTCGTATTTGTTCTAAGAAGAGGCATTCTGTAGCTCGAAAATAAGAGTAACATAGACTAGAATAAACCAATTTAAATCGTTGATTCAACTATTTTAAATCTTAACAATTCAATTGAGACTCCATTATTTAAATAAAGTGCATTGCTGAAAAGTTTTTTCAAATAAGTTCGAAAAGATTTGTGCGAATCAGATAACTCTATACTTGTCTGGTGGGAGTCAAAAATTTATTTTTTATTTTTGTCTGACAGAATGCTTATTTATTATTTAAATGGTTAACGTTCTCAAAAGATTAAGTATTTGAAAAAAATAATTTTTTATTGACCAAGTGACCAAAAATGTTCATTATTGTTCAGCTTTATAGACTAGAAGCCTAGAGGTCCAATTCGTAAAAGAAACATATAAACTACTTGTATAGGGTTCCTTATAAAACCAACTCATTTATTATATTTGACAGTACCTACAGGATCTAGATGTAGAGTCATTAGAGTTTAGTCTCTTTCGTCTGCATTTAAATATTAAGCAGCTTCTTAAATAAACTTAATTCTTAAAATATGTATGTGTGATTTATTAAAACCAAGAAACAAAAGATGTTTTATTTTAATGAACTATGAGCTTGCGTTTTTATTTTTTGTGAATAAGAAGAAATTAAATTCTGATTTTATTTACTTTGTAAAAATTCTTCTAGCTATTACTTGATAGTTTTTCTAATTATTACATGATAGTTATTTTAGATATTGCTTGAAGGTCTAGCAAATTGTTAGTTCCATTTCCCATCGTCCCATCCTCGTATGAATATGTGTGGTATAAAAATCGAGTTTTGTAAAATGCAAATGGCTGCAGTTTTGCAAAGCCACCACCGGCCACTACCAACAACAGACAATGTCCACGAAAGAGCAAATTTTAGTAGAGTTCATAACTGATATCTGTTGTTGCTGTCCACACGATGGCGAGTATGCATTTAAAATGTGCAACAAGCTAGAACACTGTTGGCTGTCCAGTCAATGGCGGTCACGTTAGCATAATAACGACAAACAAAAGCATCAAATTAAAGGCTAAAAATTGCACTAAATATATGCAAACACAACCAAGCGAGGCTCCCTTGTATGCACCATCGATGTTGAGCCCACATGGACGCAGCCCTTGCTGCCGCGTCGACAATGCCACGCATATAACAGCCAATGCCGGAATGTTGCAATGTTGCATGTGGCTGTGTGTTGTGTGTGTTCAGCGAAGCGCACATCAATTCGGTTAGTGTATGACCCCACCCTCTATTCAATGCTGACCGGCTGAAAATGGCATTCAGTTGCACGCAACACAAATAGACCCCGACATCCCGAGAGCTCGAGACCCGTAGAAGGTGCGCGCAAATGAAAACAAAATGCAAAGTTCCATAAGTTGGTGTGTGTGTGTGTTGGCTTGTGTGTGTTGGCTTGTGTTGTTGTGTGTGTTAAAGGCGGCATGTTGGCGTATTTCCCGATACGCAGCTAAAAAAGAATCAAAAGGAAAGTGATGTCAATACAAAATGAACGAGAATTTTACTGCTGCTGCGGTTGCACACTGGAAAATGAAAAATAAAAAACCCAACAAGCCACTTCTTGTTAATATACTTTTGTTGGTTGCTTTTGCTCGACGATCGATTGGCCAATGCATTAAACGTTGAGCTTTAAAGCTTCCGGTTGCCGCAAAATAAAAGCAGATCCGACTGAAGGCTAAAATGCCTATACAGCCACCATCAATGGTGCCAACGGGTAATGGAAGCCTAAGCCCTTTGATGTTGCACACATGACGTCTGCGAAGTGCCGATTTGCCAAACTTGGTCATAGAAATTTACATAAAGTGCCTGCAGCAACATGCTTGTATATATATACTTCTATACATATGTACATACTTGTATATCCGAAACTTGAATTAAACAGCCTGTAGCAAATCAGATTTATGATGTACTGTAGTATGCTTTGCGTAAAACGTTATTGGTTGTAAGTTCTTGGTATCTTCAATATTTGCAATTAATATAATTGCTTTACGAGGCTTTTCAATATACATGCCATATACTTGAAACAATGTTGAACTGAACTATTGAACCAATTTGTGTTCCTTTTTATTCAGCTCCGTCTTTTTGTTCACTTGTTTCTATTTGTTGGCGTACAAGTAGAACAGGGAATTGTAAAAGTAAGTCAAATGACAAACAGAGTGAGCGCGACGAATGTTTAATGAAAAGTATATCAAAAGTAAATATAATGAGCAAATGTTTGAACTTGCATACTCTTAAAGCTCATTAAAAGGTCTGTAATTATATGATTCGTTCAAACTTCAAGATAGTTAAATCTGGGAGAAATAGCTATATTTTTAGAACAAAATGATATTTGGAGGTCAAAAAAGGATCTGACTTAATTGAACTAAAATGCCAAATTCAAGAGTCAGTCTTGACAACAGCCCACTAGAGCGAAAATTGAATATTCTTTTTTCTTTTTTCTGTTCTTTTTTGTGAACATTTTTTATGCCAATCAAATGTTATGCAGATTATTGGACATATTATAGACACATTGACATGGGTAGCTTGGTAATATAAATATAAGATACGTGAATTATTAACGCATACGGTGCAAATGAAGTGGGGGCAGTCTTTTAAGTCGACCATGTGTGGTGTTAATAGTGAGGTTCTATGCTGGGGGATTGGGGAAGTGCGTCTGCTGATTTCCTTTAACACTGTTGGTAGCTGAAGACCAGTTAAGCCCTTTCGCTTACAGTTCATTTTATCTCTGCAAATGCATGAACGCCAACATCTCTGTAGTTATATAATACTATTTTTTTCTGATACTGAGTTCAAATCACGCTGTCTGATATAACTAAAATAAATAGTTTTCCAGCATTTTAAGGATACCTTTGAACTTTTTTCTTCATGTCAAAGATACAAATAAATAAGTTGTTAAACAAGCGAGTATGTACCATACACGTATGTGTAGTGAGTTATAAGTGTATACTTGAACAGGCATGGGATAGCGTAGCCGAGTTTTTCTTAAAAAGTACAAATAATACTTTTCTGTTTAGCAGAGAACCTTTTACTACCACTAAGCTACAGCTGCAGTCTTTAGTAATCTTTTGTAATCGCAAAGGAGATCTAACATCTGCCGGTTTCCTGCATGTTTTTCTGTCTGACAGTTGGCTTACCGCAATCGTGTCATGTGCCAGGACATGCCCAGGCATGTTTTTCGACTCACTGCTGACAGCGCCATGTTGCAAAGATCTCCCTGAGTTCGGCCGCCTTGGCATAAATTTAGATATTTATTTATAGAGGAATACATATTTGTTCAGAATTGTTGTACTTACGGCAATCATTTGTAATGCAAACGGTTGCTTTTAATCTGTGATACGATGCTCTGCAGTTGCATTTTTGAGAAATGACAGACTTATTGTGCTCTTAGCTGTGCTCTTATTAGCCCAGTTACGCTCTCTGCTCACGACTAACAACCTGTTTAGTTCGCATCTGCTGCTTGTTGCTTTGCTCTCTTCGCAAGCAACAATTCAAGTCGAATGCGCTCTCATCGCACGAGCGGTGTTTCAACCCGAGTCGCTCGTGTATAAAAGGACGAACTCGCTGCGCGCCGCTTTAGTCCTACGATATATGCCGCGTTGAATGCTTCGTCTGCTTCGGAAGCCATAAACAAATCTAAGGCCAACGCCAAAGTGAAAGTCACAAAGTGGCCAGACAAGCTCGCCGGATGTCAAAGCAAAGTCGAGAGTGCTTGCGCGTGTGTGGGTGGAGCTTGAGTTAAGCGCCATCGTGAAAAGGGCAGCCACTAAGTGGCTCGCGGTTAGGCACAACAAAAACAAAAACAAACTCAAAAGAAACAGCAACAGCAACAGCAATAGAAAGGAAATAAAAACGAAAACGAAAAAGCTGAAAACAAGTGCAGAGCGTCAAAATAATTGTAACATTGTTTTCGTTCCTTTTATAAGGTGTTTAACTTTCACGCCCCACGTCTGTTGGTCGTGTTGGTCGTTGTGGTCTTCAGTGCGCGCCATGTATGGGTGTCATTTGCATAAATTCCCATTTTAACTTCGAGTTGTGCTTTATTTTGCCAACGCCATTTGCTTATTTTTGTGTGTGGCAAGTGTAAGAAAAAAGCAGCTGTAGATAAGCACACAGTACGAATGAAAAATTGGAAACATTTAGGCAAAAGTTTTTAAATAATTCGCATAAGTAAAATTTTTGGAATTGCCATAGAGGCACAACAAACAAGAAATATTCAAGAAATAATAAACAATGCCGACTTGTGGCATTTTGTGTCTAATTTTGGTGTTTGTGTGGGGCACGCAGGCGACGCCGTCGGGCATCATCACCGATGTGAACAACATGTTGCGCGACGCCAAGACGGCGTCCGACCAGAAGGGCAGCCATGTTGTTGCAATGCCGAAGCAAACGCGTCATAGCCTGCAACAAACAGATGAGAACGAATCACAAACTTCGAGCGTCGAATTACTTCGCTTTGTGGATGATGATAATGAGGGCGACAATGACAATGAGCTGGAACTGGAACTGACCAAGGACGAGGGCGATGGCGATGGTGAACGAGGAAGGGAGAAGCAAACACTTGACACCTTGACACTGAACGATCAAGTGCGTCTCTTGAGCAAGCAATTGAACGCTTTAATGACACGTCGTCGTGAGGATTACGAAATGTTGGAGCATAATTTGCGAAAATCCTTGCGGCTGACCACAGATGCGGCTAATGTTGATGCGGATATGCGCAGCGAATTGGAACAGTTGAGGTGTGTATGTCAACGAGTCTATTAGAGGCTTGCAGGAGTGCATGTCGAGCAGCAAATGAATGTCTACTATTGGGCATTCATTAAGTGTTACTTGCTCAGTCGAATAAATACAACAAAATTACAAAACTGTGCTGTTTATAGAAAACAGTTGTTCATGATTAGGCGTTTTGAAAAACAATTGTTCATAAATTAGAGATACAAGGAATAGGCTTAGAGTCTATTATTTTTACAAATTTGTGCTTTGTGCCAGTTTCTGTTATGAGACTTTAATTTTACATCACTGAACATTTTGTTTGTTTGAATTTCAGACAACTTTCATATAAAGATTTCAAAGTAAATGAGTATGATTGTGTCACAGCACTTCACTGTCCAATATTCTAGATACCACAAGACTTTCTACCTTATACCTTAAGCACATTTTTTACAATTACCTTTTCAAATCTTTCTTAATCAACTTATTTGTTTGAGAAGAGCTGATAAGAAAAGTTGAACGGAACACATGTCATAAGCTCGGATTTAAAATAATGCTTATGCACATAGAAAGGCTCGTAGTAATTTAATGTCTATATTCGTAAGATATCGAAATTTTGTTTCTTTTTCTACTTTCATAAACTAGAGCATGGCTCTTATGTTGAGCATTTGGAACTTACCCAATGAAATGGCTTGACACGGCTCTTGCCAGCAAATTGAATTGTTAATTAATGTTGCTGTTGGCAACGGTGCGGCACATTCGATATGTGGCCTGTTTTGGTTGCCCCAATCGGCCAATTCCTATTAGACATGCTAGCTGGTGTACTTGCCATCGAACAATTCGAAAGTGCAACTTTGTGCACCATTTAGCGTGTCACTTCTACAAAAGTTTGTGCACGTAAATTTGTGGTAAGGCATGGGTAAAGTTAAGCTGCGCTTTTGAGGCAAGTTGCGAATTGGAACTTCTGGACTCGCACTCGTAATGCTGTCAAGCACACAACAGCAAATTAGTTGCCACTAATTTTTTATTGGCGCGCACATGTGCTCAAGTTTTTGGGACCACAAGTAAAAGCGCTATAAACTTGCACGAAATTGAAAGGCGGTCCTAACTAATCCAATTAAACGCGCAGGAAAGTAGGCAACATTTGCTTGAGTGCCTTTTATTTTTTTCGTCTTTTCTTCTTTTTGTGCTCTCCGCTTGTTTGCCAAAGTTAATTTAAACAAATAAAACAGCAAAGGCGAATGTGAATGCGAATGCGAATACATGACATCAAGGCGCAATTCAGAAGACTCAGGGCATAAGGCAAGAGAGCAAGTCAACAGATAAGAAATCGTTGGCATTATGTGTTTATATACGCGCGCGAGCCTGTCTGTGTTTGTGTGTGTGTGTATGTGTGTGTTTATGTGTTTGTGCGAGCGGAAACACGTAGATTTGTGCAAAGGCCAAGCCTAAGCACACTCATGTGTATAGTCGTGTCCATGTAGGCTCCTGTTAGTGATTTGTTTGTTGTTTTGCTTGCTGACTAATAATGATTGTCTCATCGAGCACGACACACACACACATAGCCAAATACACAAGCAGGCAAAAAAAAACACGAAGGGCGAGTGAGAAAGCGAACGAGCGACCAGCAAGAAATGAATGAGCGACGAATGAATGACAAAGCGGCCGCGTTGTTTGTCTAACGTGGCGCGCACTCTTAATTTACTGTACATATACACATAGGTTGGCTTTAGATTCCGTTAGATTGCGGGCATTTGGGGCAGTCCTTTGTTTGCATTGCTCTTATGTATTTTGTTTTGCCGTCGTCGTAAACTTTGTCAGCGTGACACAGTAAATAATTCAACACGCGTCCTGACACCACAAAATATATGAGCGCCCATAAATATGGCCGAGGACAGTGTGCAGCGATATCAAGTGTGTATGTGTGTGTGTGTGTGGTTTATGTCGGGTGACATTATCTGATTGCACAGTGGAACTCGAGCTCATTCACATACTAAGGCTAACATTAAACGGGCTCTTATTATGCGCCACTGCTTCGGATTTGGAGAAACGAGCGATAACATTGCGCGGGGAGGTGCTTTTCACTTTGCTCTTGACAGCTCCCTCGCGAACTTTGCTCTGGCAGTGCAGCTTCCATTTATAAATTAAATCTAGGTATATAGAGTGTGTATGTATATACAATACATATGCTCGTTGACATATATACTCGTGTATGGCAGAAGGGCAAATCAAATCGCATGCCAATGTTGCGTTTTCAATTCGTTCGATGTCATTGGCAGCATATTCAATTTTCAATTTCTCATGCTCTTGCCTGACATGTCCCGCTCTATTTTTCTATACGTGGCTGTTGTTGTGTCGCTGTAAAGGCAATGACAAAATTGAACTCACAAAAAACACAAATAAACCAAACACCAAAAATCTCGCTAAAAATGCGGAACGCTGTTGCTGCCAGGTATTGCACCTTGCTAATAGTTTAGTCGCTTCTTTAATGGCCCCGAACAATAGTTCTATTAACAGAGACGGGATATTTTTATGCATTGCGGTGATTAGTAAAGGACTAGTTTCGTGCAATCCGCTTCCGAAAACTATTCCTATTTAGCTTATAAGTCAGATGCTGAGCCAAATTATATTAAAAAAAAGTTTGTTTAATGCTGAATCCTTGCAATATAACCTGATTATATCAAAGTGCAGTTGCGCGGCATGAGAAAAGTTTTATAAAAGAAAACAAGCAAGTACTTAAGTTTCGAAACGCTAAAGCTTATAAAGCCTTTCAAATGTACTTTTCCGTTCTTAATTAATCTAAAAAATGTTCTTCTTGTGCAAAAACGAAAGATTATAAGAACAACATTAGAATGTTTTTCTTATCTTTATTATATCTCAAACTAATTCAAACCATGGCTATACCAGCTGACTTTCTAATACTGGACTTTGATCCGAATCTAATTAATATTATTCAATTTTATACTCTTTGCAATTATAATTTTTAAACGAGTCATGTAAAATGTGATGCTCGACAGGTATGCCCGTTAATGATCTTTAGAAACGTTTTACTTTATTATTTGATTAAAACCAATCTTGTACAGTCTCGTGTGTAAATTGTTGAGTTGAAGTATGATAAATTATTGTATTGAATTTTCTTATTTGTAATTCAATAAATTAAAAAAAAGATCATGCATGACTTTTTACGAATAAATTGAGAGATCATGCTTTTCATCATTTATGTTCACATATATTTTGAAAAACAAAATTTACTTTACTTGTGATGTGAATGCTTAGGTCGGATAGCTGTTAAAAATGATGTAGGTATTTGTCTCTTTGAAAATTTAACCTTAATAGCTTGAAATAAAGCAACAAGGTTGCATAGAAATGCTTACATTGGTAGTCGTGGGTACATAATAAATTTTATGAATCTCTTTCTGGGCGGTCTAGACATCAGAGTAAATGCAATACCTTTTTGCAAGAATGCAGTAAACTTTATGAGCTCGTATCGTTTGTCCCAAGTTAAAGGTCAGATGCACAAACACTCACTTAAAAATATTTCTCTGCTTACTTATATACATAAGCATATATATTCGGAGGTATGGTATGGGCTTTTTAATTTAATATTTGAAAAGGAATTAAACGAGTACTGAAGGAACTTTTTACATATCCATGGTAACCAGCGGTCGTGGGCAACTTTTTCAAGTCGTAAAACTCACAAAAAACACACACACACTCATACACTTAAAAGCTCATACACTCTTTAACGAAGTGACGCAACTCCCTTGCACAAAATATAACAAATTGAAATATTGCGCATAAGCGGCGTTGGAAAACAAAAGCATGCGCCCCACTAGTACCAAAAATATACAAGAAAAGTTTTATGAAAATTTCATGTAGTTTTGCTCTTTTGACAGTGAAAAATAAAACAACTGTAGCAGTAGAGGTAGTACAGTAGCAGCCGCCGCAACCTTGTCAAAAAAGTTTCCACCTACACAAGCAGCAACAGAGTAAAATTTTCCCACTGACAACTTTAATTGTCCAAAATGCCACAAAAATGCGTTGAAACCACAATTCGAGAAGTTGGCGGCAGCTCCTGCCAACTGCCACAAGTGTTGCTACACAACATTTTCATTTCCGCTTCCGCTTTTCGAGACCAAAAAATATATTTTCCTACACTCCAAACACACAACACGCGTACTCCTACTTTCCCCTCTTCTCTGTTTGAGCAAAACTTTTTTATTTTATTTCCCAACTCTACATTATTTTTCATTTTAGGGCAAAGTAAAGTTCACTGTAATTTCTGACGTACAAAAACAAATGCGATTGTATGTTAGCTCGAGTGTGTGTCTGCCTGTGTGTTTTGAGTGTGTCTGTCTTGCTGGTACCGCTTGCGGCACTTTTGCATTTGCTGTTATTGTTTTGGGAACAAAAAAAGTTAGACAGCTGTCCATCCATACGCAAATGTTTGCTCTGTATTTACAACTGCCACAAAATTTCAATGCACGGTGAGTAAATATTCAGTAAACTGAAAAGTTGTGTGCAAAATTATTACTGAGCCTTTGCCAGCAATGCGGTCAACTACAGACATTCGATTAAAAGCCTGTAATTAACACTGCCGACCCACTGCTCAGCATACAAGTATTTTAAAAAAGAAATGTTCAAAATGGTATTTTGAAACAACCTGGGGGCAATTGGGTAGTTTTAATAGTTTTGGTTTTATCGCTTTTATGAATAACGTTGTTGATATGTAGCACAAATGGCTACTAAACTAATAATAATATTAATAATACTGTGTTAGCATATCCTCAATGGATATTTTCTGCAATTTATTTATTTTATTATTCACAATCATTCTCTTTATTAACGCACAAGCACACTGATTAGACTCTTAAAACACAAGTACTAATAAGTTCAGCTTGTCAAAGAGTCTTAAAATGTTAGACTTTCCATTAAATTAAGATCGCTTTCCAAAGTAAACTAAAATTGTGCAGCTTTAATATGCATGCCACCAGTCCACTAATTACAGTCACGCCAAAATGTTTAAATTACAGGCGCGAGGTGCAAGCTCTGCGGGATGCGCAGAGCTCGGCCAACAAGGAACGCCTCACGGTCGAGTGGCTGCAACAGTCGATTTCGGAGATACGAAAGCAGCTGGTGGAACTGCAGCGCACTGCGGGCACTGTGGCCAAGGACATGCAAGTGCGGAGCACAGGCTACGAGGACTTGGCCACTATACGCAATGACTTCCAGCAAATCAAATTGGAGTTGGCAGCGCAACGTGAGCGACAACAACAGAATGAGGTACTCGTTCAGGAACTGCGCGAGGAGTTGCTGCAGCAGGAGGAGGATTACAGACGATTGCTGAACAAGCAGGAGCAACAGAAACAGGAAAAGCATAATCATTCGGCCAGTGTTGAGGAGGACAGCGCGAGTCAGGAAGTTGAGGTGCGTAGTCAATATGTTTGAGTGCGGCAGCTTTATGCTAATGATCAGATAAGCACGCAAATAAGCCTGCCACACATACACTCCACTACACACACCCAAAATTACACTCAGAAAAAGGTTCAAAAAGCTATTTTTAGAGTCATATAACGAACGCAATCAACAATAGTTTGACATCGATTGGATTAATAGATTGAATGCTTAATTTATTGTTGTGGTTATTCATTTTCAACTTTTACTTCATTTAACCGGCAAGAAATCCACTGCTTCTCTCCATATCGTTTATGTTTTGCAGTAGCTGACAGGAGACTAGTTCAGCTCAGTTTTAGAAATACTTTCCACATTGTATACATAATTCTAAGCATCATTCTCTCATTCGGCTTGTATCCAGACTTAGGACACTACACTAGAGTAGAAACTATGATTTATTGTGAGAGACGTTGGCAAGCGAGACAAAGAGAAAACAATTGAATGAACATTTAAACTGATGCTCGCTTTATAGTTGTTGTTGCTGGACTGTTATGCAATTTCAGCGTAATGTTTCAGGTTAGTTAACAGGCTACTATTTCATTAAGTTATGTCTAGATCTTACTCTTAAAGCACTTGTGTGTAGTACGGTTATTTATTTATTTATTTATGTCAAAAACATTGACTGTCGACATAGGAGGAAAATATACTTGTATATAAAAGAAAAGCCTAAGAAAAAGAAATCTAATCAAATTACAATAATTAACGCCCCCGACCCGGTGGGGGAGTATTAATTGCCCTTCGGCTAGCTGTGCACCGTTTTACAGCCAAGTGTAGTCAGAGGCGTCAATAGTTCTACTGATATAAAAAAAGGAAACTTAACAGAGAGAAGAAACCACATACTTGTAATATACGTAAAGAAAAGTCTTACTAATTTTTTGCGTTACTAATACCGGAACGGTTAGCAATTCGATTATCTTCAGCTCCCTATGTCCCATTGTTTTCTTTGTGTGTAGAATACATAAGGACATGTTTTATGTTCGGTCTTTTATGGTTTAAAAAATTTTTGTTTAAGTGCTCGCATAAAGAGGCCAACACGGCAGCCACAGCACGCGCAGTATTGCCCTGCCCGGCTATTGCCTCACCTTGGCAACCCTGCACATTATCTGCGCATTTTATGCCTCACTTTTTGGCAGTATTTCCCCCACACCCCCTATCCCATACCCTAGTCTGCCCCCACAGGGTACCCATTGTTGGGGGCCATCTGCGGCACGATGTGCTAACGAGCGGGCAACTGACGTACTCCGGAGCACGTATGGATGTACACATGAATATATGGAAATCCATATATGTTTGTATAAATACGAGTGTCTGACTGACTTTTAATGTGCTTCACATGCGGCTTCGCACATACATATGTACATATATATTCATATGAATGCTTAAATTACTCATACACACCGCATGACGTTGTCGCATTTAATATTTAATGTTTCCTTCATTGCGCGTTGCTCTTAGCCACTCAGATCCAGTCCAGCAGGACCTCTTGGTTCTTTGCACATGTGATTTGGTAAACTGAAAGGAGCTTGAACGTAAATTAACCAATGAGACTAATCCGTAGACATCAACTGGCACCATGCCCAAGTCCTCAACGAATTAAATGTGGCAAGACTTGAAATGGTACTTCAACAATTTTATTACCATTTAACCTTTAAATGATTAAAATAAAGCCGCAATTTTATAGCTACAGCTACAAAGAGCAAAAGTAATCATCAAAATTAAGCATTTGGTCATCAATTTCTCCTTAATAGTTGTTGTATGATCGAATATTTGAAATAATTGGAATGGAATGGAATTCCTCAAGTTCACCTTGGAAAATATTTATATATTTCAGAGGGACAGTTAAATATAAACCGAAGGCTCTCTATACTGACTAGTTCTCACAAATTGGTGATCCAATTAATTCCTTTCTGAGCAAGTTGAGCTGCTTTTTCAAATGCAGATTTTTGTAAGCAGAAAAACATTTTGAATAGCAATATCCATCTCTATTGGAAAACATTTAACTTTTACTTGAAAAGTAGCTTCAAAGTGGAAGTGGGTGGAATATACTTGCAAGAAATTCAAATACAAGTAGTTTTTCCGCAGGGCCATAAATAATAAAATATGATAATATGGCAGCAATTTAATTGCACTTTAAAAGGGATTTAAATTGAAAATTTAATTAATTATAATAGAGGCAGTAGCGCCAATTTCTTTCCTTCAACTTTCCTAATAAAGGAAAAGGTAACAAAAGAAATCAGCTCTAACGATTTTTAATTATAATTTTAGCTTAAAAGGAAACAAAGCACCTTACTAAAATTAAAAGCAAGCAAAGCAGCTTCATGCAGCTGCTGGTGATGACGCTGTTGTTGTTGTTGTTATTATTGTTGCTGGCAGATAACAACAGGTAAGAAAAAAGAGTTCAAATGGGTTGTGGTTTTTTCTCCCCATGGTCCTGCTGCAAGCGAACATGAATAAATAAAGCAAAAAAGTGGAACAGTGTGCTTCATTAAAAGGATTATGCGGTATGCTCTCGATATGCTGGCATATGGAGTCCACTTTGTTGTTGTTGCTGTGGCTGCTGTAATCGTTGGCAAAATATGTCAGTGAGACTTCAAACTGGTTTTTTATCCCATGTACATGTTTATGGATGAGTGTATTATTTCATATGTAGATTTTTTGGGACAGCCACCTGTTTATTATTACGAGTATTTCTTTTATTGTTGTGCGGGTACGAGAATTAAAAACTTATTGCGTTTCATAAAATAGTCTTCAAAGAGCGTTCTACAAGTATTTGTATTTGTTTGGCATTCAATACATGCTAAGCTGCTGGAAATTTCTTTGAAATATTTTTTTCACCACTAAACTGCTTAACTAGGTTGGTTTTCAGATGAGGAAGATGCGTGCGTCTTATTTTGCTGATTGAAAACCAAAATTTTATTGGGTTCAAAGCGATTACTTGGCTAGGGGCCCACTAAAAAATTGCCGCAAATTGCTTTAAAAAAACATAAAAAAATGAAAATGAAAACGAAAACCAATAAAATGTACAAAGCGGCGTTTAAGCGGCTTTCGCTTGAATGCGTGCATAAGTGCGGCTAACACACACAAATACTTCCACACACACACACATGGGTTTTGTGTGTTTATGTAACGTTTACAGCCACGCCTTTGCTAACCAACAACAATAACAGCAACAGCAACAACCAACAATGGCATTAAGCTCGACCATAGCCCGATAATACAATATAACATGAAATTGCTGAAAATTGCAAACAAAGAGCAGGAAATCACCTTTTAATCGCTTTCGGTGCAGTGCCAGCTGCGTTGGCCAAGTCGGCGAGTCGTCGAGTCGTCGACTTGGAGGGCGAATGTTGATAATGGCAGCCTGTCTTTTGTCTTCCCAAAAAGCAGCCAGCCAGCCAGCCAGCCAGCCAGCCAGCCAGCCAGCCAGCCAGCCAACGAGCCAACCAAAAGCAGCAGCAGCAAAAGAAGGAGCAGATGCTTCAGAGTGCCTTGATAATCTGTAGAGTGCGTGTGTCTGGGTCTCCTTTTATGATGCGCGCGCTTCTTCAACACAATTTGAGCCTTTTCATTATTTTTGCTTCCCACACGCCAACCAACAGGCGAACGCCATGTAAAAGTTGAAAAGGGCCACCAAACTCACTGACAGCCCAATGTGCACTCGAGTTGGAGAGTGAAAACAACAACCACAGTACCTGTAGGTATTCCTTCTACGAAATGGCGAACAAAAAATTGCGATTTTATATTTTCAACTTTTATTACAAGAACTTTGCTGCAAAGAAATTAGGTTGAATTAGAACAAAGCCAAAAAGCAAAAACAGCAAGCCAACCAGAGTGAAACGAAACCCGACATAACAAAATAAAATTGCACAGGTGGCTCTTTTGGAATAAAGCACATTCCTTGTGTTGCAGACCTTACTCACACATTTATTTTTTAAACAAATTTAATTAACTTTTTCCCTTGTTACTGCGCTTTTCATCAATAGACAGAAAAGTCCATAATTGATTATTGCTTGTACTAAGTTGGATATCAAAATGGTTGTTATGTGAGTTGTAGACATAATAACCAACCAGTATTGACTTGTAATATTTAAGGATATGAACGGATACATGAAGTTACTAACTGATCAAAATTATTTACAAATTTCGCTCTAACCTTTTCATTTTGCTCAATATTTTATTGTCTACCCAACTGAATTGTCTACCACGTGCTTCAAAATATTCTTGCATCTACTTCAAGCATTCCGTATTGTATTAAAATTATTTACAAACTTTCGTCTAACATTTTCATTTTATACAATTGTTAATTGACTTCATGTTCCAACATTTCTTTGAATTGCTTTATTTTCCAACAATTCCTTTGAGGTTTTGTAATAAATGTTGTTGCCCTTAAATCTTTTATTAAGTGAATTTGTCCATTTTAAAACAGTTTTCTTAATTTCAATCAAGACATTTTTGGGCAGATATTACAATTATGGCTATAAATTCCTTCCTAATTTACTTAATTCTCTTGATAAAAGTTGGCATACAGACTGGTAACCACTGGTAACTGGAGATATTTTACAAATAGTTGAAAATTCTGAGAATAACCAAGTGAATGCGGGGAACCTGGACACCAAGTTTGGTAATTCTAGCTCTTCTACCTTCAGATATCCTTTTGTTCAAACAGAGATACATGTCTATATTGTCAGGTTCTTTAATTGTATGCATTTCTTCAGTTTATTTACATACAAATAAATAAAATTAAATAAGAATAACTTCCGCAATGCTGTGCTCTTGTCTATGCACACGTCTGCTCTCTTCGACGACTCAAACGATACTCCCCTCTCCTCATACTTGACAATATCGGCTCGTCTCGTCATACTGATCAACAATATATATACTTTGTGAGGTCTGTCATGCCTCCTTTTGTGTGTTACATACATTCGCACTAAACTAGTATACGCTTTTAATATAAAAACACCATTAACGACTGATCTAGTGGTTGTAATGGCGTTTGTCTGATTTGACTTTAAGAAAAGAATGCTGTTGTGAATAATTTATGTCCAGCATTAGTAGAGCTCAACCAATTTTCCCCTAGACAACTAATTTTTGTGCACCCACTAATGAAGTTTTAATTGTGTTTGCTGTCATACAACGACAGCTGCTTCTGACAAGCTACGAAGCGTCTAATTGATAAATATGTTGATAAACAGCAAGAAAAATACTGAATATACAAAGATATTAATGAAAACGAAAGATATGAATGCCTGATGGAGATACAAGCACGCACACATGTGCCTGCATAACAAATATCGCCCGATGGAGCCTGTCACTTGCAACAGTTGTTGTATAAACATCAAGTAATACGCAAATGTTTATCATTGGTTATTGATGCTTTGGGCTCGGACAGAAGCACACATGCCAGATACACATACATACATACACACATACATATATAGACTTGTATATAAATTTCTACACCTACACAGACGTTAGCATATACAGAAGAAGTTGTTGTTAAATTAGGGAAGCAAATAACTAAGCAGAGGTAGGCAGTTTGGAATATTGCTGGATATTTTCGATAGCTTTTGTCTTATTTCGTTCCATTTCGTTTTATTCCTTGACTCGGCAGGTTGCTATCCGCCTACATTTTGTTATGAGCTCTCATTCTGCCATGCACTTTCCATATTTCCATGCTGATACGAGTCTGTGTTCATTCTCAGTGATACTTTGTCTTGTACATAGCATTATTTTCGCCGCTTCTTTTTTTATTTTTGCTGGTTCTCGTTGTTGTTATTGCTGTTGTTATGGAATAACGGCAGCACAATTTGTTTGATTGTTTGAGAGTTTTGTATGCTATGTAAGCCGTTTGTTTGCCTGTCGCCGTGCCTTTCGTCTACACACGTACATGCGTATACTTGATATTTATTTTATGACTCAAATTATCTTTATTGAAACTCGGCATACACTTGAGATTCATGTTTATGTATTATATATACCATGTATAAACTGTATACATGTTTTTATATATACTCTCCCCTTTTTCAACTTTAGTCAAAAGTGTTTTTATTTTCCGCGAAATTTCCATGGTTTCCATGCAAATTCCCAAATGGCGAAAATAAAGCCGTTTGCCTGCACCGCTTCTGAATTATAATATACTCTAGGAATAGTCTTGATGGTTGCCATACAATACACTGGTATACCTATATACATACATACATACTCGAGTATATATATTTTTGTGTGTCTGTGTTTCGGCACGAGTTGCCATTATTTGCTCAGTCGAGAAAATGTTCAGTCTCGTCTTTTGTATGAGCCCGTTTTTCATATGAAAAGTGTTTAAATTGAAATTGTTGTGCATTATTTGTGATAATTTATATTTGAAGTGCTCATATTAAGTTTTTCAATGCGCGGTGGTGCGACGGCGTATACGTATTTTTAGTTTCCCATTATGCATACGTCTGCAATTTTGCCAGCTACTGTTGCTGTGGCCCCCAAATGAGCATTAAGTTAATAGCATTTTGTGCCACTTTGTGCTACACTCTCTCACACACATACATATTAAATATATATATATATATACTAGAGGTGCGCATGACTTTCAAAGCGTCCAAAATTGGACAAACACGGTCACGAGACTAAAGAAAGAATCTATTCTTTTCCTTACATTATTTCGTGCTATATTATTTATTTCCATCGTATGCGCTACCATATGCGCCTTTCAATAAATGTATGGTGACTAATGCCTTTTATTTTGAGGGAATTTTGTATATTTATTAATCGATACTGCGGCCCGAAAAGAAAAGTGTTTCAAGAGAAGCAAAAAATTAAAGAAGCAGGTAAAAAGTGTATATATGCTTAAAAGTGTAGAACCTTGTTAGATTGTTGATAGTGGACTGCCTACAATTTGCTATCAATCCATAACAATCCGTTTAATAGCAATAGTTTGTTGTCTATCGAAATATTTTAATTGAAGCTTAGTTCAAAGAATTGAGCCTGATTTTTAGTGCGTGCTATTTTCGTGTTTGATAATGCTACTTATTTTAAGGATTAAAAGAACGACGCATACCCACCACTATTTCATAAAATATATATGGGTTGGCATACCATATTCGGCGGAGCTTGCCACTTTCAGAAGCGCACACAAGTCGTATTAAATTTTAACGACAGTTCGCTTTAGAGCGCTTCTAAAAATGGCAGCAGCAACCGGAGCGCACTTTTTTCTTTACACAAACACATGCGTACATACGGACGCACACCCACACGTGTACACATCTATTCGGACTCCCTGTTCACATGGTGTGCGTTCAGCTAACGTGCTAATAGCAAATCCTTGTTAGCTTTCACTTAAGTACAACATGTAAAAATTTGCTTTAATCCTTGCACGAGTCATTGACGCCGTTGTGGTAATATCTGGATGAGTACGTGTGTGTCTGTGCCTGTACGTGGCCGAAAATTAATTAGCGCGTCTGCTCTCTAACGTGACAATGGGTGTCTGATTAGTGCTGCTTAATTATGACTACGCTTTCCCATTATGCGCTATCAAATATTTAAAAGCTGCATAATTTACGCTTATGTTGAGGGACTTTAGAATTTTGAATTACCAGCTTGCCAAACATAATTTCACGTGCTGCTTGTCACATATCCATGACGCAATTTGGCTTTCTGAGTGTTGTTTAAATAGCTATTTAATTACATCTATTACCTTGATTCATGTATGTATTTTAAATATTTTTATGCTTGTTGGCATATTGTTCAAAAACATCAAATTCCAGTCAAAGGCAATCTTTAAGCTAGAGCTCTGGTGCCTTGTGTTTCTCTGTTTTTGTAGACACCGCCAGCATGCACGTGCGGCATTAGCGTTGTTCGTGACCTTTCACATAAAACAACGCGCTCATATATGTGTTTCTGTGTGTGTATGTGTTTGTGTTTATTCAATGCCTTTAGTTGTTGCTGCAAACGAAGCTCTGTCAGCACTCGCCCAGGCACGAGCGTCTTTGTCATGGTAGCAACGCATACGAGCATATCGCCAGATATCTTTTGGTGCACGTTAGGAACCTTATCGATTGGATGGTTGGTATATTTATGGCGTTTCTGGTGTGGGTGGCATTAATTAAAATTATTGGCACAGAAATTAATTCAATTTAATTTATGCTGCTTTGTTCTTCCACCTTGCAAGAAAATATGAGAATGATTTAATAAACAAAATATTTTCTGCGAACCTAAAGAACATTGTATTTTGTTACTTTTTTGCAAAGTTATATATTCTAAAAGTGCTTTAATTCCCAGTAGATCAACCGAAAAATGATAGCTAAAACAAACTGAAATATAAATAAATTTAATGTATCTTTAATATACACGTAGTTTTTTAAATCGTACACATAAAATGTAGCCAATGTCAACCAGATATATGTTTTCATGTACTTGAACCCACATGCAATGAAATGTATTTAATTAAGCCACTTCTGTAGACACTTGTAATGACACTTTTTGTTCTACCTTCTTCTATTTTCCTTTGGTTAATTATGAAAACACGTAAATTCATTTCCATTCAGCAATGCGACAAAAGCATTGAAACTATCGCATTTTTAATGAGTGGCAAACAAATATCTGCCAGCATTACATTCATTACATTCACATAACTGTGACCCAAATGGCATTACCTTGGTTTGCGTTGTTACTCAGTGAAATTATAAATATAAATTTATGCAGTTTTTAGCCCTCGGAGACACACTCCCTTCCGTTCTCGACTCACACCTCTGCAGACTTTAGCGTCACTTGCATAGCTCAATGTGTCCCTAGTACCCATATTTGCATTTGCATGTGAATGTGAGTGCGTGTACATCCAAGTGTGTGTGTGTGTATGTAAATGATGGGTCACAGCGTGCAGCTGCCTTCTTGCAAGTTCCCGTCTCCAGTGTGGCATAGACGCCAAGGATTTGCAGGCGACATTGCTGTTGTTCTTGTTGTCGCAGTCTCTGGTACTGACATTATTGTTGGCGTAGCATGTCATCTGACAAAGCTGTTAGTGTTGTTAGCGTCATCGTTGTCGTGGGTTATGAAATGCATTTATTATAAATGGATTTTGTATTCAATTCCCAGCTCATAATCCAAGCCCATGTATGCGTATGTTGTTGCTTTTGTTAGAACAAAGTAAACCACGGCACTCTGGGAAAGATGCTTAAGTAAGGTGGCGTGTGGCAACAAATCTTGCAAAATGTGGCAAAACTCTAACATAATTTCCAGCGCACTTCATACTAAATCCCCCCTTTATTTTGGCTCACTCTTTGCTTACAGTCAAGCAGCGATATGATGGCAGATCACAAGCGCCGCCATTGCCGATTCCAGCATCAACAAATCCACGAGCTGCAACTTTCCCAACGTAGCCTGAGGCGACAGGTGAACGAACTAAAGTATCATCGCATTGATGAGCGTGTGCGGAGCCTCGAGCTCGAGCAGCATCGCATTGCCAATGCCAATTTCAATTTGAGCCGGCAAATCGCCTCGCTCGACAAACTGCACACATCGATGCTGGAACTTCTAGAGGATGTAGAGGGGCTGCAAACCAAAATGGACAAAAATATTCCCGAGCTGCGTCATGAAATTTCAAAACTGGAGTTCGCCAACGCACAAATCAGCTCTGAGCAGAACATGGTGCGCGAAGAGGTCAAGAATGCGGCTCGCTCCCTTCAGGCCATGGCTGTAAGTGTGAGCGCATTGCAGGATGAGCGCGAGGGCGTGAAAAAGCTGATGGGTACAGTCGAGCAACTACAAACCAGTGTCGATCGCGTCCAGTCGCTAGTAAACGCCGAGCTGAGCAATAAGGTAAGTGCCATAATCGATAAAAACTATAATACTATTGATAAGTCGAAATAAACAAAAAATGAAGCATTCCGAACACAATAATAAAAGAATATGCATCGCATTTAAGGCCAACCATTCTCAAAATAAATATTGGCGGAATGATTTTCTAATATTGAATGTACTTGAAACTCGATTCAAAGTGATTGCCAGTCAGTAATATGTTAATCTACACTATATTAACATCCGCTTTACCAGTAATATTTATTTATTTAAATAAATTCCACGATATATTTATTAGTTATGCATATCTAACCCAATAATAATTAATATAATTAATTAATTTTGCATTATTCTATCCACAGCTTTCCCATGCCAATAAGCCACACAAGCGTGCCCATCATCAGATGCAGCAACAGCAGCATGAACCGCATACGTCAGATCTCAGCCTGGATGATAATGTTGATAGTGCGTTGGCGGAGACGCTGGTCGCAGAACTGGAGAATGTGGAGGCACAGTATGAGGCCATAATTAACAAATTGCCACATGATTGCAGCGACGTGAGTACGCCGGCCGATGGCCTGCATCTGATTGCACCCGCCGGCCAGCATCATCCACTGATGACTCACTGCACAGCCGACGGCTGGACGACTGTGCAGCAGCGCTTTGATGGCAGCGCCGACTTCAATCGCTCCTGGGCGGACTATGCGCACGGCTTTGGCATGCCCGGTGGCGAGTTCTGGATTGGCAACGAACAGCTTCATCATCTCACACTGAACAACTGCACGCAACTGCGCGTACACATGCAGGACATTTACGACAACATCTGGGTGGCGGACTATGCCAACTTCTATATATCGTCACGTGCTGATGGGTATCGCCTGCACATTGGCGACTATAGTGGTAATGCGTCTGACGCGCTCAACTATCAGCAGGGCATGCAGTTCTCGGCCATTGACGACGATCGCGACATCTCACAGACGCATTGTGCTGCTAACTATGAGGGTGGCTGGTGGTTCTCGCATTGTCAACACGCCAATCTAAATGGGCGCTACAACCTTGGCCTGACTTGGTTTGATGCGGGACGCAACGAATGGATTGCGGTCAAGTCAAGTCAAATGCTGGTCAAGCGACGGCCGAGTGCCGAATGCGCGGCGTCGTTGACAATACTGTCTGGCCAAGACACGTCCACCACGACAGAGACAGCGACAAGTGTGACATCACCCGGTCTGGCAACCACTAGCACCACTGTGGTACAATTTGTTGCTGCTGCTCAGGCGTAAGCAGTTACAGGCACTCCGTTGAGCACAGACGCGGGCCAGAGCTAGAACCACCAGAGCCATGCCTACTATAGTTTGGAGTGCGGTGATTGTGTGTGAGAGATCGTAGGTATGTCTGTATGTGCGTATGAGTACAATTGTATGTGTGCGTGTGTGTGTGTGGAACGCAATCGGTGCGTTCTAAAACTACTATATGTTTATTGTAAAAATATGAGCTCTAAGAAATAGAGCATTTATTTTTTAATTATTACTGTATTAGGTTTTGTACATAGTTAGACGAGCAACTTGCTTATACTTTAGTTAATACACATTCCAAGGGAGCTTATTGGCCTCGTCAGCATGCCAAGTAGCAAGTCTAGCGATAGCTACAATACTGGCATGACACACCAGGCGTATGCGTAATCTAAGCTACGTTTAATGAGAGTACAGAAATCGTGAGCGTTTCTTGTATTTATTTTCATTATGTATGTACAATTATCAATGAAATGCATTATAATGGATGCTGGTTTATATATTTCAATTACTGCAGCTCACGGTTTTTGCCAATAGTATGTGCGTAGTGATAAGCAAATAGTTTAATTATTTAGAATGCAGTACATTTATCAAATGCGCCCAATACGTATACATGTGTTTTGTCTTTCAGCAGATCTCATAGAGGCTTAAGTTCATTAAATTGACAACCTTCTCTCTTTCCGTTCGCAACTGCAAATTCCAAACGAATCAATATCAACACATAATTGGGCATATCACGACCGATAAAGTACACTAGCCGTCTACTAGTTCTGCAAATATTTCTAAAAAGCATAGCTATTAAGTCAATCCAGTCTAGTTTAGGCATCTCAGACAAATAATAATTATATGTCAGTGCACACATTGAATAATTCATTGAACTATATCAGATTAAACATTAAAGAGATCCGCGCGGTGTGTGCGGAAATAAAATTAGGCGTCCATATCAAGTATGTAGTTGCATAAGCTTGATTAAAAACCAGTCATAAAATACGATATTTAGTGTAGGGGTAATTTAATGTTGATTAGCAAGTTTGTATTTGTAACTGTTGTGGCATAAATGTGCGCTATAAGTTCATTTTCATATCAAAAAAATATTAGTAATAAAACAAAACAAAGAAGGCCGAATAATATTTGTTGTTGCCCTACCTTTTGTTCAAACTGTAAGTTAAACGCTCATTTCTTCAAATACCAACCGATTCCAATGCCAAAGATAAATACAGAATTCCATGCAGCGGATTGAAAATAAAAACAAAAATTCTAGTACAGTATGCGAGTACAGTATGCAAATTTATACAGAAATAAATACATGAATAAAAAAACAACTATTTTCTGCCGTTTTGCATATACCAAATATATATGTAGTTATACATAAAAGCTAGCGTTAGTATTGCAAAAGTATGAGCTAAGAAGCAGCTAAACATATAAGTGGCATACAAATAAATTATACAAGTACATACATGTATACTTTAATTTTATGTACGTTACATATTAAGTAACAGAAAATGAATACTTAAATAAAAATGAAAATGAAAAACAACTGGTCATAATAGCCGGCATATTTTACAATAAATAAATTGATGTGAAAACTCTGTGTGTACATGTCTTAGCTTATTCGACATCTACGCTTCTTTGCCAATAGCTAGCGTGGGAAATTGATCAATGTCAGATGAAGCCAAAAGATTTCAATATCGGGTGCAAAAAGTTCGAAGACGAGTTGTGAAAAGTGCGCGCTCAACGGAGGGGAGAAATGCTCACTAATATTTTCACTGCATGCATCTATATGAACGAGCCAATTTGCTAGCCAGCAGCATCAGTGCCAGCAGTAACAACAACAATAACAAGAACAAATGCACTGATTTATGGTTGCACACAGAAACCTAAATCTGAAATCCGTTGCCGGGCAAACATAGCAAAAAACAAACTCAAATGCAGCTGCCAGTGGTTTTTTTCTTGCAGCGAAAACATTTATCCCGACATACAGACCACACAACCCTACCAACAGACGCTAAGACGAATATGTAAAAAATTTGCCTTTAGTAGCAACAGACAAAAACATCAGAGCATGCTGTGAAGTACGATTGACTTGTTCTGGCATCTGGCTTTCTGAAAAATGCTGAAGTATTTGGTTGGGGCTGCAGATGAGTATTTATTTCAATAATGACTCCTATATCTAAATGGTATCTGAATGTTAGCTATATAGAAGATATTTACGTTGCTAATTGGTTCAATAAGAGGAAAATCGTAAGAATACAAAACGAGTAAATATGCATGCACATTTCTATAGAATATAAAGCATACGAGTACGTGTATATAGTATATATATACAATAGCATTCAGATACTCAAGCTGCAATATATCAGGCAGCCACACAAAGTACCACCACATTTTCTCAATATCGCAAGCATAGAAAATTTAATAATGCACTAGTGCATATTTTTCTTTCACTACGCGGCTATATTGAATAGCTGCCGACTTTGTGCTGAGCTTATCTTTATTTATACATTTTTCTGCTGACATTTTGTGCAACCAAAACATCAAGGTAATAACGCAAGCTGTCGTTGATCGCAAGCAAACTAAAAAATAGGCTTTTGAAAAATGCATGGCACTACCAATTTATTGAAATGTGCCAATTTCTAACCCTAATTTCCTTGCTACCTTGGAGTTATCATGCCAAGTATAATGTAATTTGAAAGGCTGCCCACTCAATGTAGCACTGAATAAAAGGTCGCCACTTGAGGCCGCCGCATTTCCATTTGCAAAGCTAAAGACGGTGTGAGTGCAGTCTACTCAAGGAATCGCATTTAAATTCATTTCGGCTTTACTTAGGTCAGTCAACAATGTTTCTGCACCATTTAACTTAAGAACATCTTGCGAAAAAGTCAAATTTAGTGTAAAGCACCCAAGGCGAAAGCCCTAAAAATAAAATACTCGTATATAAAAGGTTTTGGTGTGTCAAAAAAAAAAGCCCCAACACCAAGTTTACGTACAGATGAAAAATACGCATAAAATACACAACCATATAGAACGTCTGTGCAGCACTTGAATAGAAAAACACAAAGAACAAAACCGAAAATGAAATACAAGAGAAAAGCTGCACATTTAAAATGGAAATCATTCATGGTTGCGTGGTTTTTTTTTTGTCTTTTTTTATTCTTTGGTACAAGTCGACGGCGGCCATTTGGGTTCTTACTTCCGGCAATTAACAACGGGCGGCATGGTATGCAGATGCTGATGCGGATGCGGACACTGATGCGGATGTGTGCACGCGTCGACGATTACCCAAAACAGTCGATGACCGACCATCAAAGTCGGGGCAGTCAAGTGCATTGAGGTGATAATTGTTGCTGCCCGAAATTCCATTGCGTATTAAATGATTATGGCATTTGCAATAATGTTAAGTGCCTGCAATGTAAACAAATTATTGAAGTGAAACGCCAATGCGGAAGCAAAAAATTGCTGTGGTATGTAAATAAAAATTGAAAGCTTTTATTTCACAGTTTCTCCTAGTCTATGGCATTTAATAAGTTAAGTAATTGGCTTAATGTAACCTATGGATTAACGTTTGTCTGCACTTCTTCTTTTTTGATGCAAATATTTCAACACAAATTAAAAATTAACCAGTATATACCAGCTAAGAACTCAATATTGGCTGCATCGCATCTACTTTTATATATATACATATAAGTTCCTACAAAAGCATATACTCTTACTTGATGCATTGGTGGCTGAGATCGGCGGCTTTAAAACCGCGGATGGAGTGAGGATAAAAACAGGCCAAAGTTAATGAATTGTTGCATACTTTTTTGGAAGTTGTTAATTAAAATTTGAAAATTTAAAATTTAAAATCTTTAATAAAGTTTCCAAATATATATTTAGGATTAATGTATTATAATTGCTTCGCTATAAATTAGAACTTACAACAACTTTTTGTAATCAATTTTAATTTCTTTTGTGTGAAAAAATTTCCCCTAAGAACTTTTTCATTATTCATATTCTGAGATTTATGAATTCGCTTAATACTGCCATACCTTTGCTGACCGCAGTGTAAAATGCATCAGGATTAGATTGAGTCGGTTCAGAAACAATTCCTCCTTTTTGATCTTTGTGGCTTGAACCTGGCTCCTGTTTATTAATCTTCCGTCGCAAGTTAATCGCAGGACTGTCCTTCGTGTTGTGTTTCACTACAAATTTATGCTCAAGTCTTTCCAGGTTTTATTTTTACGATCTTTTCCACATTTTATGAGAAATATATCAACATTTTTAAAGAACGTTTATTAAACTGGTTATATATACATAGTCTGAAATTATATTTAAAAATAGCCTAAATTGTAAATTCTGGTAAACAATTCACAGATGCCACATAAAGCCTCTGGCACTTTAATTAAAAAGCATAATGCCTTAAGCTCACAAATGTGCTATTTGTATGTATGTAGGTTAAAAAGAGGTACAGAAAAGAATGAAAACAAATGTTAAAATAAATTTTTACGGCACTAATGTGGTATTGGGGACAAAAAAGGAATCACTCTGTTGAACAAAGAGAAAATGCTTGTAAGCTTTCTCTTTTAATCAGCTCAGCGAGAGTTGTCTTCTTGCTAATGTGGTTGGCAACCTTGTTACTGCTGCTAGGAAAGGGAATATGCAAATTTTAATTAGCATGGAATTTACATATGCTAGCGCACAAACCCAAGCACACACATACACATACAAGTTGATTCCACAGACATGGGAACCACTTCGCATACCTTAGTCTGCTTTTGACATAACCAGAGTGGGTGTATAGGCAATGATATGAGAAAATTGGGCGTGTGCTGCCATTTAAATGGTGCCCCCCGGGCGTTGTCTTAGTAATTAAGCCAATTATACTTAGAGCTTTGTTTTGAAATGACAAAAGCCCGGCTGCGTAATTTATAGTAAGATATTTAATTGGCACAAATCAGGCTGAAGCGGACTGACAAATGCAGTATTTCATTCTCTGCTCTATTTTGAATAGGATTATTACTTAAGGCACCTACTCCGTGGCTCTGCTTCCTTGCTTAGCTACCCATCAGCTACTCAATGCATTTATGCAACTCCATTTTTTCTGTGCCCTTCTGCTTTCATTTACTTCATTTTGCCCGACTCTCTGACCTCTGTGCAAACACTGAGCATGGAATGCCCTCTTCTTGCTTGATAAAAGCAAGAAAACCAAAAAGAGAAAGACTAAATAGAAAATGCAGCGAAATGTCTGATTGTTTTCGGGTTTCCTTATCTGCCAGCTGATATTTTATTTCTCTGACTATGACAGTTAGTTGACTTGTGCCGGCCAAAGAAGTTTGCCATCGCTCAGTCAGACAATGAGTTGTCGAGGAGGCAGAGAGCTGCAGTGAAAATAAACAGTTGCAAAGAGTCTCGGCAACTGGCCTGGCTGGCCTGTGGCCTTCGCGAAAGTTGCGCAAAACTTAGCTCTTCTATGATGACTTTGAATTTTTAATATTACACTGTTTAAGTTGAAAAATGTTCTATCTTGGCCTGCATTTTAAGCAGCTGGATAACTGGCTGACTTGCTGACTAGCTGGCTTAGCAAAAGCTGCTTAAGTTTTGGAGAATTTAATGCGTTTTGCCATAAGACAACAGCTTTGCTGCATTGGCCAACTTCACAGAGCTGCTGTTATTAGTTTCAGGAAATTGAATATCCGTTGGAAAATTATCAATTTATGGTGAAATGAACACTGATTGCAAGCCACGATACGAAATGAAAGTACTGCGCTTTGTGCCACACTCCAAATTGAAAACGAATCGCAATGAAACGAGACGAGACAAAAACGACACCAAGACCAACACCAGCACCAGCAGCAACGCTTTGCTCGAGCATTCAATTTACAGTGCCAAACAGTAGAATGTTGGCAGTTGTGAGGCAGTGAGGCAATGAGCAGCCAACAACATCATAATGAGCAAGTCAACAGCAAAAGCAAGAGCAACAACCACACCAGCACCCGCACCCACATGCTGTGCTCACGGCGTGGCAGAAGGCAGCAGTCAACAGGCAATCGATGCGTTTTTCTCAACCAGTCATGCCTTGTGGTTGTCATGCAACCGCAGATAAAAAGCTGCTTGCAATTTGTTTTCCAGAACTCCCTGCTTTTGGCCTTATTCGCACGGCGGAAACTTTCATTAACATCAAAAGGCGAGGCAGTCAGACAGAACGACCCACCGACAAACAGACAGACACACAAAACCAAAGTCAGTTGAGTCACAAGGATACAAAAGGAGCACATAAACCAGTAGGGTATCGATGTCACACTCTACGGGTGTGGACATAAAAGAATGTCACATGCATACATAATGTGCAGTATAATATTAAGAAATACGTTTCTTAGCTTCGAGTCCCGTATCTTCTAAATGTATGTACTTGTATTCGCATTTTAATAAAAAATAGGCAGATTATTTCAAGTACAATACATTTTTACTATCCAATTGGATCTTATAGATCAGGTAGACTATACTATATATGAGAGCTACATATATGATGCATTTCAAACTTGGGTATATGACGATTCATCTCCGCATTCTGATCATCTATTTTTGTTGAATATGGGTTCTACTAGCAATCTGTAGAGTTACACTTTCCTTAATCTATGATGGCCTTTACTACAAGACTTAAACCCTTAAAGTTTTCCAATGAATGTAATGATTTTGTACGTCGCATTTTTTCCCTTGTAATGTATGTAATACACTAATGGCACACGTTTTTACAAAAGATTTCATAAAATTAGGCCCTTTCTGCGTATTTTCCATGAAATATACTTGTATTATTTAATTACAGGTAATTAACGATTATATAAAAAAATATTAATGGTAACGCAATTGAAAAATGGTGCCTTATTCTCTTCTATGGAATAGTTCGACTAGTTTTGCATATTACATTCATATTAAGCCAACAAATGGCTCGGAGTGAGCTTCAATTCTTAACGAATGACATTTAAATTCAGTTATTAATTCTTTGTGCGCCACTCTTTGGCTTTAGTCCAATAATTACGTGAAATTGATTAATTATCTGCAATTAGAATTCCTAGGTTTGCGGCTTGTTGTTCGAATTGCATTGAATATCAAGCCCTCGATTGGCATTCAAATGCAAATCCGACTAGATTGCGCAATCACAATGGTGTCAAAAATTGATGAGTAAACATTTGAAAGCATTCGAGCTTGCTACTATTTAAATGCAAACATTTCAACAATTTTCAAAGATATGCACAAGCCCAACCAATTAGTTGGCAAATAATGGCCAGAACTCTGTTTTATCTAACACGCACAATGGCAGCCGCAGACAAAGCCATATAAATAGGCAGAGGGGCAGACAAACAGGCAGACGGATAGACAGACAGAATGAAAGCTTGGCAGCAACAATAATAATAACAGCAGCAGTACAAAAACCTTTGTGTAGAAACGAATTTCATCGCACGGTAGCGTAGACGCCTTTATTTGGGGCCAGTAAAACTTTATTTATGTTTTGAAGGGTCCTGGGCATGTTGTTTGTGTTTGTGGTCTTGAAAGAAAGATGTCGAAATTGTGTAACTTTAGTTTGTAAGTAATTTAACAAATTTGCGAGACATTTGTGGCTTTTGTGCAAATATTTCAGTCGAACTGGCCCGTCAACTTGCCTGGCTTTTGACCCCAGGCAGGCAAAGGCCAATTAACTTAAATAATTAGCTAAATTGTCTTTCATATAATAAAGTTGTTCGAAATTTTAAGGGTAACGTGGCTTTTCCTATATATAACTATGTTAGATATTCAATCAAATTTAAATATTGTTCGGCTTCTTGTGCGAGATTTGGTTTGAGTTTTGAGGACAAGTAGCTGCTGCTTTTATCTTCATAGAAAATCTGTAAACATATCAACAAATCGACATCAATTATCAAATTTGTTAAAACCAAAGGAAGCTTCTATTTTACCTCTGCGTGAAGAGCGAATTTTTCTATTCCTTATACACTTCTTTTTATTACGTTAAGTCTTTAAGGTAAAGTATAATTTTCATTTAACAACAATCAAAAACATCTATGAACACTTATCCTCCCTGCTAGCCAAAAAATCAATACAGACTAATTTTGTTTCTTCAGTTTTAGTTCAGCTGATCTATCGGTTACCATACAAAACTAAAAAAAATGGGAAACTCACTTTCCAGACAACGCTCAGTAGGCAGTAGCCAGTTTTGGCGTTTTGTCTACTGGTTTGTTGTACTTCTAGTTGTGGGTCTCATTATGTTCGGACTGGTGCATGCTCTGAAGGCGGACTTTGGTCAGTGCTCGGATTTTGATATGCGCTGTGACTGAAGTGTCAAGAAAAAAACTGAACTCAGTAAACGTTGAAAATTCACTTTATTTCAAGTCAAAAAATCAACATCGACATATACACGCGATCAGAAAAATATACATTTATATACAATACTCATTTATTTTTAATAACAATGGACGAAGCAGAATATAAATCAAAATTAAACCAAAAGCGATACTTGTACTGGTTTGCTGTATTCTGGATACTATTACTAATTATATATTTGCTGTTTCTGATTGCGGGAAGAGAACCAAACGAGTGTGTCAAATACGAAGTTACCTGCCACTAAAGACGACAGCGTGCAAGCAGGCAAAAGGTATGTTTAATGTATCCGAAGCGACAAATCAGTTTGGAGCGGCACAAAGAGGATCAGCGACACCTGGCCATATTTATTATAGTTTTAACAATCATACTGTTTGTCTATTTCTGCATAATGATCAAGTATATACTCTATCTGTTTAAAGACAAAGACGATCAACAATATACGGTAAGGCTACAAATTCACCAGTACATTTGTTTTTATTTACTTATGTCTTCACAGCTGCAATGGTTCTAGTTTGGATAATGCCGATTAATACTGCACAAAAGCCCCCACCCTGAGAGCTCTTAGCTGATTATCCATCTTATCACAATAAATGTTGAATTCCTTTAAGTTAGAAGCCTTGCAGAAAATAAAACACTCTTCCGAGCATTTGTTTACTTACAATTAGGAGGACTTTTGCAAAGCCCCAGCACAGCAAATACATTCATGTGTACCCATAATTGCTCATTTCCTTCGTTGTGTGCGCGTGTGTGTGTGCGCGCACATAATTAACTGGCAAGGCAAACACACACATGCAAACAAAGACGAAAGCATTTATTTGCTCAATCGGGATTAACTTGAAATACGCGCCCACATTTCAGACAACCTGGCGTATGAGTAATATGAAATGCTCATTGTTAACATATTGTATTAGCTTGATAGTTGTTTCTCTTAGGTTTGACGACATTTATAAATCTATAGGCCAAACAATTTGAAAAATCAGCTTAGTTCTAAAATATAAGATTCTGTTTAAAGTTTTACCTTCCTTTGATTTATCATGAGTCGACAATCAAAGCTAAAATTTAACAGCTCCTTGTCTACAAGCACTTTTTTTAACTAAATAATATATATTTTTAACAATTTGTATACCGTTTGTGGGAGCCAAAAATTATAAGAAACAACAAAAATTTGTTTTCGAAAGGGTTTCAAATAAAAAAAATAGGCAGATTCGTAAGTTTCCCGAACAATATCGTTTCCTTAGCTTATCCATTATGTTAGTGCCATTTTGTGTAGTTTTGGATGTCGATATATATTACCATCATTTCTGTGAATGATGAAATAACTGAAACACTCGGACACAGTTAGATGTGTTTATAATTTATATTTTCAGCTGCATCAATAAAATGCAATAATAATTTCAATGTGATTTTTGTGATCTAGCAGGTGTCGTTTCACGTATATTATAATGCAGTCAACTTTATTGGTTCACACTCTATGGACATTGATGAAATTGCTGTTTTTGAAATTTATTGCAAAACGCTCTGTTTTACTAGTATATTGACCTTCTCAACAGCTCACATAGGAGGTATGGGTATATGAATAAATTTGAATTTTTAATTGACTTGGAATGTGGAAGGAAGTCCTGTTTGATATAATCAAAAATTTCTACCCAACTGTATAACAATTTGTTACCCTTATCTATCGACCGAGAATGTCATATGCATAACTTATTTTCTGTCTGTTTATTATGGCAGAGAACAACATAGAACATGTGCAGTAAAACAACACACAATATTCTTTGAAAAAACACACAAAAGGTCAGATGTGGGCAAAAGTTTGGATGCAAACACCAACTGCATAGACACATATGTACTAGTTTCTCGTATATAAAAAATATATGTGTATGGTATTTTCATGGCGGTCGCCGCATAATTGTTGCTCTGTGTGATTTCATGTCCGCAGACTGGCAAAAGTTCCACAATCCACACTATTTATCTATGTAGTTATCCTTGCCTTGCATATTTGACGTACTAAATGGCTGCCCGCTAGTTCATATAATGAGCCAGAGCGTATAAACAGCAAGGTCATACGCTTATGCCGTTGGCGTATGTGGGCAACAATTGCAAATAATAAATGCTTCAAGTTGACAGACGATCGATAAATTCTAAAGAAAATACAAGCAAGTTCGAGGGCTGGACGAAAAATGAACCATGTGAGCACTTTGTTGTTTCTAAATATATACACACTACTCAATATTGTGGCAGCCAAATGTAATGATAAATAAAACAAAACATTTTTAGATACAGACCGCTGGCGACCGCATTGCTCAAGTCACGAGCTCGGGCGAGATCAAGGAAACAGCTGATATGATTATCATCCTACTACACACAATATTTTATTTTATCATAATACATTTTATTCAAATGTATTCGAACTTAACAACAATATGCATGGCCTGTTTTAATGATATTTATCAGACTTCAAGGCCTTATTAAATGTTACATTTAATTTAGTTCTCATTTTAATTAGTTCTCATGTATATTTTTTTTTTTTTTGCCTAGCTTTATTTTAATCAATAGAAGACCGAGTTTTTATATTGAGCTTGATGCTGTTCATACCTTACACATCATATGAATGTGCAGAAGAAGAAAATGGTATAGGTACATATATGAGTATATAAATAAGCATGACAGTCTGTTCGTATGATGTATAGATTTATTTAAAAATTTTATATTTATGAGTTTTATGGTACTTGTGTATAATGTCTCATGATATTTTAAAGTTTTATCCAAATTGGTGAACTCAACAGCTGTTATATAGATGTCATAGGAATTTTTGGCACAACAAAGTTTGTTTAACTTGCATGACGGTGGAAGTGAAGAGTATATGGTTTTCAGGAGCTGGGCTGGCACGTTGATAAATGTATGGGCACAGCAGGTGAAAAATAAATTAACTTCTAAATTTTGTTGGGATTTATTGTCATGGCAAAAGTGGCTGGCAGGTGACAGCGGTTTTTATTTGACTTTATGGGTGGCTTTAAGGTGTATTGGAAAGGACCAACAAATATTGCATACCACATCCAATTGCGAGACAATGTAAGTTTTTTAATTGACTGAGTAATTATAGCATACTTTTTCGGTCAATACCCAATTATATTCACACTTTGTTATATCACAACAACTCATAATGACAACAACGCCAATTTTAGCATAATTATTCTTTTAGTCTGTTTATTATTGGACGTATTACGTGAAAATTAAACCAAATTGAATCACGCGTGCATAATAATGTTTGAGTGATAAACTCTTTGGCACTTCGATGGCAGCTCAGTGCGTTTTTATGCCAAATCTCGCACGAACAGACACTCGAATTCGTATTCCCCAGCCATACGTTACATACAACCTACGTACAAGTATATCTGCAAATTATAGTAGCAGACAGTCATTTGCTTGTTGGCGGGTATTATGATAATTGAGATTGAGCATGGCACTTTATGGGCTTTAGTGGCACATTTGCATATGCAGCATATACTATAAGTAGTTGCGAGTTAACAGCTGTGGTATAATTGAGCAATGCAGATAATAGGATATATTCGTATATATGTATAGACATGTTCATATACAAGTATGTCGATAATGCATGATATATGGCATGCTGAAGTGGGTTTAAGTACAAGCAAATCTATTTAATTGATTGAAATTCTTTCGTTCGTGCACTTGTGATTTATCCAATTGCAACTGCCAATTAAATAAAATAATGAGGTATCTAATTACAAAGTGCACCAACAATGAAATTAACTTTCAATGTACTGCCTGGCACCCAAATAAACAGGAATGTAACACAATTAAATGAGTAAACCAATAAGTAGTATATATTACATTAAAAAACTAAGCCAGCTTTACTTGTTTTACTCAAAAAATACCATGAAGAATTTTGACTATAAAGTAATTCAAGAAAAACAAATTTGCATGCCAATATTTCAAGGTTCTTCCGCCCATTGTTCTCACAACTTTAAAGCAAGCAATCTGTCGCGATTACACAAAAACAACAATTAATTCAGATTGCAAAATCGGATCTCACATTTATCCGGAATTAAATACTTCAGCTAATGGGCTTATAACTGCTAGAGCTTAACTGGTTAGGTGTATTGAAGAGTTATAAATAGTTATAAATGTCTGTAGTGACCTTCACCAATTTTCCACACTGGTTCAGCAAATAGGGCTTACGGATGCTTCTGCTTTTGCGTACAGGCACAAACACGTACTTAGAGCCAAAACTTTTGCAAAACTTAGCAAACTTTGGTCAAGAAACTTAAGCTTTAACATTGGAATTTCCGCAGTTGCGAAGTGCTGACGAAAAGGGTTTTTCGCATTCCTTTGTGCATGTTTTGTATGCGTCTGCGTAGGGGAATAAAAGGAAGCCATCCATGTGTAGTGTAACGCTAAACCCTTTTTCAACACATACTTAGCTAGCAAGGAAATAGGATTCAGCAAAATACTGCCAAGTGTTTATTTCAGCTTTTGAGTAAGGTTTTTTTTTTCATTTGGCTTAAATTGCCACAAAAATGTGTAACTTCAAAAGTGGAACATTCTGAAATAAATAGACCCCACACATGGGAGAGGCGTTGACATGCGTCAAAAGACAAACAAAACATTTGACATGTGCAATATTCAGTCAGATTTTGCTGTTGCTTCTCTCTTCTTCCCTTTTCATTTAATGGTGATGAAAATACAGCAACACGTGCTGTCGCATTTTAATACATATGCATGCATATACATGCACAAACTCGAATGTATAATGTAACTGCGAACACTGTTTACAAGTGTGTGAGTGTGTGTGTATGTGTGCATTCATTTGCGTCTGTTTGCATTTCCGTGTGTCAAGCTGTTGGTTGTTGTTTATGTTGAGCGTACTCGTAACTCGTAATGATTGTCGCCTGTGCACGTGCTTCCGTTTTCGATATTTCTGTATTTCTGTTGTACTTATGTACATTGTGTCCTTTTTACATGTTAATGGATTAAGCGCAATTTAGCAGACGTACGTGCGGCACAAATTTGATTTTTGCATATTGCTTCCCTTCATGAATGGTGCATGTGGGAAATATTTCGGCTTATACATATCTTATTCTACGCTCATAGCCCGCACATAG